AAGAAGAACGAGAATCACGTGACACCACATCCTATATCTCGTTTGCAGATGTGGAGAAGTCGATGAAAAAAAAAAAAAAAAAACATCGAAGATGCAGCACTTATGGAGTACGTTAGTGATGGTATCCAAGACAGCGAATCTAATAAATCTATTTTGTACGGAGCGTTAAACCTTAAAGAATTTAGAAAGAAATTAGATATTTACAAAAGTATTAAAGAAAATACTCAGACTCGACCAAGTGTATCTACTCCATTTACAAAGGATAGTAAAATAAAGCGATGTTTAAATTGCGAGGACCTAGATCATCAAGCCTCGACCTGCACGAAGGGTATTAAGTGCTTCCGATGCAATGGATTTGGACATAAGGGAACTCAGTGTAGTAACAAAGGTAAAAAGACTTTAAATATTCAAAAGACTGAAACAAAAACTAAGACTGATAGAAAAGACAAAGAATTAGAAACTCCATATAAGAAGATAAAGATAAATGATGTCGAAATTACAGCATTAATTGACACTGGGAGTGACGTGAATTTGATAAAGTTATCTGAAGTTGAAAAAGTTATCTATGACAAAGAAAAATCAATACACCTAACTGGAATTGCTGGAAAAGAACTAAATACTGAAGGACTTCTGAAAGTTAAGGTTTTGATTGATGATTATTACGCTGATTTGGAATTTCACGTAGTACAAGATTATGCTATACCAGTCAGTGTCATAATTGGAAATCCTATCCTCAAAGGATTTGAAATCAACTTTACTCGTGATGGTAATTTCCTTGAAAAGATTTCTTACCTTACACTACTGGCAGAAGAGAAGAACACTATTTGTGATGAACATTACCTAAAAATAAAGAAATTGCAGATAAGATTACAAAACTAATTGAAGAATATAAAACTGATGCTAAAAAGAAGGAAAGTAACGTAGAAAACGTTACAGAAGAAGACCCGATCCATGAAAGTCCACGTCGATTGTCACCACTGGAAATGAAAGTTGTTGATGAACCAATGAAAAAATGGCTAGACCAAAAGATTATACGACCCAGCAAATCAGATTTTGCAAGCCCTGTAGTTCTAGCTAAAAAGAAAGATGGAACATACAGACTTTGTATAGATTATAGAAAGTTGAATTAAAGAATAGTGAATGACCGATTCCCGTTACCTCTTATAGAAGATCAGATTGACAGATTGAAGGGTGCAAAAGTTTTTACGACCTTAGATTTGAAGAACGGATTCATGCATGTGAATGTGCATGAAGAAACCAAGAAATTTACGGCCTTTGTAACTCCGCAAGGGCAGTATGAATTCATGAAAATGCCGTTCGGTCTTTGTACGGCGCAGTCAGTATTCCAAAGATATGTCAACCATGTCTTTCGAGATCTTATTTCTGACGGTACTGTCCTTGCCTACTTGGATGATTTGATTTTACCCTCGGAGTCAGAAGAAGAAGGATTGGAGAAGCTGGTAAAAGTATTCCAAAGACGGTCGGACGGAGAGTACGGTCTTTTATTTAATTGGAAGAAATGCCACTTCATGAAGAGGGAGATAGAATATTTAGGCTATATAATACGGAATAATGAATTACGCCCGTTAAAAAAAAAGATTTCAACCGTATCAAGATTTAAAACCCCTCATAACATCAAGTCTTTACAGTCTTTTTAGGACGTGTCTGGTTATTTTAGAAAGTTCATCAAAATTATTCTATAATTGCAAAACCACTTACCAATTTATTGAAGAAAGACGTTGAATTCAATTTTGGTGAAGAGTGCGAAATGGCTTTCAATTTAGTTCACCTGTGTTACGGATTTACTATCCAGAGCTAGCAACAGAACTACACACAGATGCTAGCGCAGAAGGCTATGGCGCCGTTCTGTTACAGAAAAGTCCTACTGATAATCAAATGCATCCAGTCTACTACATGAGAAAAAAAAAAACGAAACCCGCTGAAAGAAAGTATCACAGCTATTACTTGGAAATACTAGCGATTGTTGAAGCTGTCAAGAAATTCCGTGTCTATCTACTAGGAATTTGTTTTAAAATCATAACAGATTGCTCTGCTCTTACTAAAACATTACAGAAGAAAGACTTACCTCCACGTGTTGCTCGATGGGCTCTGCTCCTAGAAGAGTATAATTATGAGATAGAACACAGGTCAGGATCAAGACTTAAACATGCTGACGCATTAAGCCGAAATCCTGTCTGCTTGATACTTACCGAAGCTGCTACCCGCTTGAAAAGAGCTCAAGACACACCCTCTCTAAGAAAAAAAAAGAACCCTACCAAGACTATATTATGGAAAGAGGAATATTATGCAAAGAGAAAGATGGTACGAGACTTATTGTAGTTCCAAAGAAAATTCAGAACAAAGTAATAAGGAAGAAGCATGATTATGGACATTTTGGAGTTAGAAAAACAGAAGAGCTTGTGAGTCGAGAGTATTATATTGAGAATCTGATTGAGAATATTAGAAAAGTTATAGATAACTGTGTAGAATGTATTCTGATTGAACAGAAGAAAGGAAAGAAAGAAGGATTCTTACATCCATTAGACAAAGGTGATGTCCTGTTGTCGACATATCATATTGATCATCTTGGTCCGTTGAATCTACTAATAAAAATTATAAGTACATTTTTACGGCAGTTAATGGCTTTACCAAATTTACAGTTATTTCGAGAAAATTGCAGATCATCGCCTTGCTTACTCATACAGTCAATTTGTTACCAGTTCTGCTAAAATGCAACTAAAAGCATTAATTATTGATATAATTATAAGATTAAGAGAATATGGCTTAATTATTGTCCCTACAATTTGTGACCAACGAAATCAAATCTGCAATTAATAAGAAACGATGCGAAAGAAAAATATTTAAGGCCAAAGTCTACAAAAGTAGTATAATAGAAGTTAATGACATTTGTTCCATATTAATGATCCTCCCTATTTATTAGAGAGACTAAAATATAATTGGATTAGTAAAAATATATGATTTATATTTCGTGGGGCAATCATGATGGAAAAACAGGAACATTTAAAAAGGCAATTAGAAGTTGACGTTGAAGAAGACGATTTAAGAACGTTAAACATATTAACAATTCATCGTTTGCAACAAGATAAATTGCCTAAATTGAATATGAAGTATGCAATCCAAGTTTTCAGTCAAAGAGTTGCAGCTATAACAATTTTTTTAAAGTAAGTATTTTAAACAAATATGTGGTTTAAAATGTGGTCTTTACAAAATAACATAAAATGTAATAATAGAATATTATAAAAATAAAATGTTACCTTATTAAATTGAAAGTTTTAATTTATTTGAGACCTGTTGCAAATTCTCTTGAATTAAAATAATAGGATATCCAATTTTTATATTTAAAAAAATATATAATCCTCCAGCAGAGGTAGTACCGACCAGGAGTACGAGCTGCTGAAGTCAACGTTACTCACTATCTTCGAGGAATTCGAAACGCATCAAATCACCAAACTCATTGGCAAAATGGACCTCAGAGACCAGCGCCCATCTTAACTGCTGCTTAGAATGGACGTAGCCAGAGATAGGTTCAAGGATGATACTCTGAGCGTTTTATGGCAGAACCACCTACCGACTGCAGTTCGTGCTGTACTGGTGGTCACCGGTACCAAATACCTCAAGACGCTAGCTTCTGTAGCAGACAAGGTCATGGAGACGATGCGACCTGTCGGCCTTGCAGGGGTAAAATCGACTTTGTCAGACAACGCCTCCATCATTGCTGAAATCGCTAAGATTATATAGGATATAATAAGCAACTGGATAAAATGGTCATGGGCAGATCGCGGTCGCAATCACTCGAACGTGAAAGAACCCAAACGCGTTCGCAGGCTCAATGTCGTCGCAGCCATACTCCTGGACGCGCTGATTCTCGTGACAGTTGGTTTATTCTACCACTATCGCTTCAAGGCTAGGGCGCAGAAATGTGTCCAGCCGTGCGCTTGGAAACCGGAGGAAACGGGAAACTAGATACCGTGCAGCGGGAGGAGGCGAATAGTTGCATAGGCATCTCCAATCATCGCCTCAGCATACTAGATAAGTCCAGCAACCTTATTTTTCTAATTGACACCGGTGCCAATACCGTAGTTTTACCCCGAAACAAAATGCGTGTTAAATCGTGTGGTAATGGGTTTAGCGTTATTAGGAAAATTATTTCTTGTCGGCGCTGACTTTCGTGTAGTACGAGAACATACGTACATTCTCCAAATAAATAAACTATTATTTTAATACTAAATAATGGGTAACACTTTGAACAAGGATGAGGTAGTTATCGCACAGCCTGAAGCGACGATGTAGGAGACAATAGTGCGATCATATATTGTTTGGACTATTGCGATTTTCGTGATAACCATTATGATCCTGTATTTTTTCTACCGTTACGGTACGGCCCAGGTTAAAAAGTGGGTGCTGAAGCAGATGGGATTCGTGCACGAACAAGCCTTGCAAATGACTCAAGTTACCAGAGCCAGCTTCCGAAGAGCTCACGACTCGCCCAAAATAGAAATAGAAATTTGTTAACGGGTTGCGTTTAACGGTGTTCGGCGATATCAGACGTACTGTTTTGTTTGTCGTTTGTCTAGCTTGTAAGTAGTGTTTAAGAAATATTATGTAGTAATTTAAATTTGTTATTATGATACTTGCGGCAATTAAATTTATTTTAACTGAAGTAAATTAAAATGTGTAATATACCTATGTTTTAATTTTTATCATTGCCACCGTGGTCATTGTTAATTGCATATAAGTCGAGCGTCGACAACTACTGACGCATCAAATGTAATTCTCAGTGTTGAGACATACAGCCTTTTCATGTGCACACGGCCACGGTACGGTCGCCGTGCCGTGTAAAGTAGTAATATATGACCAACAATGAGAACTTTCACATGGCACGGCGACCGTGCCGTGACTGCGAGTCAGCCGTCCTTGTCCACTATAAACACGATTTTGAGGCGGCAACCATCTTTATAGTCTTGTATGGACTTGTATAGACGCGTTCACATGAACACGGGCGCGGTACGGTATTGCGAGCGCAAATACCATTAGACAGCCAACAGCAAATCATAGGGGAACGGACGGACGATTGTTGTAGAATGTCTGTCGAAATCGATGTTAATGTGTTGATCTCGCTAGTTGAAGCGCGTCATACTTTATGGGATAAAACCATCGCGTCTTATAAAAACAGGAATGAGACAAAAGAAGCGTGGAAAGAAGTATGTATAGGATTAAATAGTAGTTTCGAAGAATTAGATGATAATGAAAAGAATAAGTTTGGTGAGTTATTTTATTACATTATATTTTTGACATTTGCCAAGGGACCGCCCCTATATTTGATACAAAATAGTCACTCAATATGTTTCGTATATTGTTTGGTGTAAGTCCTCCGCGTGACTGGGTTTGTCTTGGGACATCTTCTAGTCCTGTAATAAAATCTGTGTCCTCCACCTGGTAACCATCTCGATCACGAACAAAGTTACAACGCGTAAAGTACGCGAAAAGTACAACGCAAGCTTTGACGATCGCGACTGCAAAATTTGACAGGTTTGACGTCAATTGGTCTGTGGAATATTCTCCATTTATTAGACAAGATGCCAAAGGTGCATTCTACATATCTGCGAGCTCTGCTTGGGCGGTAGTTAAAAATTCTTTTTTTAATTGCAAGATTACATCCACTGTACGGACGTAGTTGGGAAGTGCAAATGCTTCGTCACCAACTAGGAAATATGGCACTACAACGTCTTGTATTTCGCTAATACATTTTTTAGTAGGTAGTTCATGTTCATTTCTTATGATTGAATTCCACAGCGACGATCTCTTAAATATTGAAGAGTCGCAATCTTTACCATAACTTCCTATGTCCACATAGACAAAGCGTAGTGTCTGCTACGGCCATCAAAACTATTGAGGACTATCCTTTGTAGTTGTAGTACATTGAGCCAAGTGGATTAATAATTCTAATATGTTTCCCATCCACTGCACCAATTCAATGCGGAAAATTGGCTCTTTTTTTCGAACTCTTCGGATATTTTTTCCCACATCTCTTTACTAGGTGTAGGCATGCAGTCTGGTAGCATAACACGCCAAATGCTAAAACATACTTCATTTACTATCTTGCTTACTGTTGAAATGCCAAGTCTGTAGTTAAGATGTAGGTCTGTGAAAGTACACCCGCTAGCTAAGTACCTGAAACAAAAAATAAACAATAAATACTTACCATGGGATCAGAGCAATGTTATAATGATGCTGTATAGCATTTGTATTTTTTTATATTGTTTCCAGGTAAAGAAGTAAAGAAACGATGGGTAAATATCCGAGATTCTTATCACAAATCATTAAACAAAGAAAAGTCTGTAAAAAAAATCGGGAGCCGGTGCTACCACTATACGAAAATACGTTAATTTTGATCAATTACAGTTTTTAAACAAATTTTTTTGTGAACGTCCTATAGAGAGTAGCCTACCCACTGATCGGGTCGAAAAACTTTTAAGAGGAAATAATGTTGAAGACAGTACGGAAAGCAATTGTAGCAGCCAGTTTAAATCACCACCACCGCCTCAACAACAGCCCGGTTCACGTAAGCGAAAGACAGATGAAATTGACAAAAAAATTGTTACATATTTTAGAGAAGCGGAGGACCGGCATGTGTTTTTTTTTAAAGAAATAGTATCTTCATTGTCATCATTCAATGAAGACGAAATAATTAAATTCCAAATGGGAATATTACAACTAATAACGACCATTAAACAAAGTCGTCTTAATGCACCGCAACTTCAATCTTTTACTACCCAAGTATCCCGGCCGACACTATCTCAATCGCCGTTACCTGGTCCATCTAGAATTTACTATGAACCTCGAGGAATACAAAAACAAACAGAAGGAAAAATGATATCACCAAGTACACGTCAATATTATGAGCACTTCTATTCCGAAAATCCATCTTCGAACGACTCTCAATCATCCTACGCAGGCTCCGACTTCTCTGAGATTGATTTTGCCGACTGATATATATCAAATTGTCAATTAACATGTTTTCTGGTTTTTATTAAAATTAAAGTGTATTAATATTTTATTTAGTTTGTTTACTTACCTAACAGTAAATGCCATTTACTTACCTAATAGTAAATGCCAACATTTCAACAGGCTCGATGCAGTCCCTTACGATGCTGCTGCAGAGCGTCTTTTAGACGTCTATGGAACTCATCAAATGAGCTCTTTGACATACGAAAATAGATGAAAAATTTATCCTCATGTTCTCGAAGATCTATAAACTTTGTGTAAAAATCTCCCTTTTCCTTTCTCAAAGTATTGTACGGATGTATCCAATATATTCTCTGATGTATGTAATGAAGACGACGCTGACGACGTCGATACAATAGGAGTAAGGCTATCTTTTTTTGTTCCATGATGATCCGTATACATGAGAAAGAGCTAGCACGGTTGAACGGCACGGCGACCGCGCCGTGATCGGATACATGTGAAAAGGGCCATATGATACCAAATGTTTGTGCATTATGAGTTGATAAGCAGTACATTGTTACCCGGTTATGTCGACACCTAATTATTTGTATTTTCAAATTTTATTGTATTTATGGGATACAAATACAATAAAATTTGAATATACAAAAAAAGTATTTTTTGGAAGGAGTGATGTAACTACACTTAATATAATACCTATGTAACTGATGCACTTAGTAAAGTCCTTATATGGGTTATAAGGACCTATTTCATTTACAACACACTACACATACATCAGTTAAATGTGTATATGTATACACACACACACACATACACATACATATACAGTATGTAACAAAAACCCTGTTGGTCGTTTCAGGGACGTATAGGTGTATATGTCGCAGGCATTTTGTGTGATTCCGCCGTTTACATACAGCGTCGTCAGCTTAGAAACGCTCGCTGTTATGTAATATGCCGAAGGCAAAATGTAAATTGCCGTTTCATAATATATTATGCCTAAACATTTGCTTGGCGATTCAAACGACATCTACATAATGCCGCGGCTAATTGAAGTATTTAGTTCTGTTTCTTATCACGAGCGTCGCTGTTGACCAAACAAACAAAATGGCGTCAAGTAGTATCAAGTAGTTAAAATAAGTATTGTTTATCGTCGGTCGATAAAACATATAAGCCGGTGTCGCAAATGTGTAGAGGTACAAGGTGGACATATTGAACAATATCTTCGTGGTCGTCGTATCTATTATTTATTCTGTGCTAATATTTAGTAGTAATATTTAAAAACATGGAAGTTTTATAAATAATTTTCTTTTTATAAATACAACGTACACTTTTAAGTGTAACCAGCATACTGAACTTCATGTCTTATTGCATTAGAGCGCTATGATACGTGGAGTTTTGTCCACTGGCGTCTTAGTAGCGTGCTACTATGATACGTTTTTGCAGTGTATAGTTAACAACGTATTAGTGCCGGTGGTAAGCGGGTTCGTTGTAGCAATACGGCTTTCTCGTGAACATCGCACACCCATACCGTTTGTGGGGAACGTCGTAGCGCATAGCGATGCGTCGTCTATCTTTCGGATTGGGATGAGTGTGTTTGGTAGCACTTTTAAGTGTATCAGGCATACTCAACTTCAGATCTTAGTGCATTAGCGCTATGATATGTGGAGTTTCGTTCATTGGCGTCTTAGTAGCGTGCTACTATGATACGTTGGTGATATTTTTTAGTTAACAACAATACAAACTTTGTTATCAAAGTCGATAGGGATCATGTGGGTGTGTTGTGAGGGGGGCGCCACTCGTATGATAGTTGCATTGATGCTTACTGCTTCTTGCGGTGTTGCGTCTTGTGATGGATCTGCGGGTGTGCTGCGTCTGATTCGACGCATTCTTGTGGTTCTGGTCGATGGAGGTACGCGGGTGGTGTCTGCTGGGATTTATGGGGGACCTTGGGATGGTGTAAGCCCGACGATAGTCGTATTGATGCTTGTTGTGTTCTGCAGCATTGCGTCTCTACGATGGTTGTTTGGTGGGACGCTATTCTCAATGGCGCTCTCTGCGTCTTGGTTTGACTCACACCTAAGTAGCTTTGCCCAAGTCGGGTCACTTCATTACGGGGCTGCAGACCGTTTGCCCTCCACCATGTTTTATATAACAACATAATAATATATCTCTGTAACTTTCCCACCATTGAATGATTGAAGGCAACTTGTTGGTGGGTGAGACAAACATGATCGAAAATTCATTTACTCAACGTCAGCGACACAAAACCTTCCCGATGGCGAATTATTACTCTTATCTTATAACTGACTTTTGGCTATATCTGCCGTTGTACTGGTTGGTGGAGCATATGTGCCGACCTCATGCGGGTGGTAGCTGGCGGGAGGATCTGAGGAGACTCTCAAGGCTGCGGCCGAAAGCCGCACAACGTGGGACCCCATTCCCTTGAGGTGAGCGGTAGACTCATGACACGCTCTGCGCCTAGTAGCCGTGCTGATCATGCAATTGGTGGTGATGCCATACCCTGACATCACGTCTGCAGGAGCGGCGGTCTGACAGGTGGTAGCGCTCACGGAGGGCTTACGGCCAGTGTGCCTATTTGCCTAAACCGTGTGACGTACATTCACTGTGGCTGGATTCGTTCGTATTCTGTATGGCGTGTAACGCATTGACATGCGCGACTTCAGTCGATGTTTGTGCTTACGCACTAACAAGGGGCCAAGCCTCTTTTACTGGTTTGCCAGTTATTTTGCTGTGGACTACAGTCCAGTTCCCGTATTAGTGTTCCCTTTGGGGGGAGTGCATCAAAATGGTTGGCGCTCACCGCGCATTGCGTGTGTGGAGCCGTGTGCCTCCCCTACATTTTTTTAAATAAATGTAGGAGAGCGAAGGCCTTGTATCGGGTATTTTGTATAAATATATTGTGAGCCTTTTCCAAACGGGAAGGGATAAATGATAATAAATTAATAATGTAAACCTGATACAAGTGGAATAGGGACGTTTTATGTTCTTAACCTTTCTCGAGCCCTGTCTTCGTGAATGGGGTTCACTTAGCTTATAAGGCACTACGAACAGCTTTCAATTGCTCTAGTGAATATTCATTCTTCCAAAAGACATCTAAAAGAACTAAGTTACTAAATAAACACAACGTAAATAGGGGTCCTAACTAAGACGATCACGCCAAAAATATTACAAACGGCCTATTATTAAACCTTTTAAAAGATCACTTAGAAAGATCAAAACATATTTTATTAATCCTGGTCACATATATATATAATTTTATTGAAAAGGGTTAAATTAATTATATTAATTATATTTAATATAATATTATTTTTATATAGAGGGGGGGGGGGTTCTTTACACTATCATTCTCCTTTTGGTTCAAGCTGTTTGTGTCCTGATATCTGTAGCTTGTATACTTGGCCATCTCCTTCAATAATGATGTTAGATCCCTTATCGTCGTGAAGTTTCCTACTAATTCAATTAAAACTTGGCCGTTATAGACGAATTTACATCTCATATTGCCATATTTATAGTTGAAGATCTGATTTCCTGTAAAAAAACCACCCCACCCCCCCCCCTGGAGGGGCCACCCCAAAACCCCCAAAGGCCGGGAAAAGGACCACCATCGAAACACAAAACATCCCCCGCCCATTTTATGAGCCTTGATTGCCCTTTCCTGTTGTAAATTCGTCTCTCTCTGCCCTTCCTCGGATCGGGACACACCATCATCTGCCCTCTGCGGTATTCTAACATGGTGGGTTAATCAAATAGGGCCCTGGTCTAGAGAAATTCTAAGTGCTCACTAACCGGGACTGTTTCTAACATTGTTATGAAATTTAACCCAGACACTGTAGACGCCAGGCACATTTCTCTTAGCTCTTCTAGCGGTAGTTTCCCATGTTCGCCCTCATAAATAATACAGGCAACTAAGTTCCTAAACGTCTCTATCCACGTTCTAGGGTCATTTTCTTGGGAGGATACGTAGTCAGTGACGACTAAATTATTATACACGTATTGTATTCTCTCCACTTGATGGTAGTACTTGAAGATACCGTTCTCTTGGGTCAAGGGAGTTAATTATAATCCTCATCTGCTTGGTCAGCTGCATGTTGTTTTCCAGTACTACCATCATTTGCTCTCTCAGTTCAGCAAGCATGCCTGTAGGCAACCAGGGGTTGGGGATTGTGAAGTCTGGAAAAAAGATCTCCTTTATTGCTGAGTTCCGCAAATTGGAGGGTATGTCTACGATCGGTTTGTGAGTTCGAATAAGGTTTCTTTGCAGCATGGGCGGTCCCCATTTCATTCTTGCATTTTCCATGTCGCTGTATAGTATTGTTTGGTGGTATCGTCAAGACTGGAGAAAGGAAAATCTGCAAGCCTGATGAGTTTCTCTCCTGGTGGCTTGCTGTTCTCGATCCACCAGTCTATGGTCTGTAACTTTGCGATAACTCGCCCATGCATGTAAGAATCCTCAAGATCTTGTGACCTACTTGTGCTGACTAGCAGATGCCTTGGTACTCCATGCTTCTTCGCTTCTGCTCTGATGATGGCAAGGTCTATCATTACAAGGCTCATTGAAAGTGAAAATGTAAACTACTATCTCATTTGCTTTTTATATTGCTTCTGCAACTTAAATCCTAGAAACTCTTACATAGCGCCATTGTCTTATTGCCTTCCAGATGGAACAATTATCGACATGGGAGCTGACGAAGGAGTTTTTGTATACAGCGACGCCCACAACAGTTATTTACTCTACGGGATGAAAGTATTCAAGAGTTTTAGAAAAATAGGAAAAGATGAACACATGACTGGGATACTAGAAGACTACAAAATCATACATCCTGCAAAAGAAGGGAATAAGCTAGTGAACTTGAGACATCTAGAAGCATGCAGCGGGGAAATAGAGTAGAGTGAAGCAAACAATTTGTATATAGGAGGGCTCCTCTATACTGCCGTAAAAGACTCCTCTGTGAAATATGCAACCCGTTCAACCTTAAACAGACATATCGTTCAACCTTAAATAGTCAAACGGGTTGAAAATCAGGGGAGGGATATCATTCTAGTATAAGCTAGTAGCGGGATAGAACAAGTGAACCGTGACACGCCAGAGCCATAACTGCGTTAACGGCGGCCGCTCCGTCCATTCGCCATCGAAATCGATCGAAGATGTCGTTTATGCTGAAAGTTACAATAGCCTATATAAAAGTAACTAGCTATCATCAGACATTACAACAAAACTCAAAAATAAAGTCACTGTTTTATCGGATATTAGATTGCATCCAGACAATCAACGATACTTTAATTTTGCTTCACCAGGAGTCTCGTCAGTGCATAAGATTGATCCTACCCATAAAGTAAAGTAAAATAAAGTTACAGCCTATATACGTACTGCTGGGCACGGGCCTCCCTTCATTTCTGAAAGGGTTTTAGGGCAAGAAAGTGTCTGCCGCTGCTCCAATGCGTGTTGGCGAACTTCACATGTCTTCGAAATATTTTTTTCCTACTCATGATAATATATTATTAATTTGTACAAAGTTTGTCGTTAAGCTAAGGGACGAAAATAGCGATGTTATATGGAGTGAATTAACGCTACTTTTATTTAAGAAAAATGATTAGGGTTCCGCGCAAAAAATTAAAACCCATGAAATTGAATCATAATAAATTTCACGCGTAGACTCGGGGAGCAGCTAGTCTAAATCTATAATAGATTATAGGTATATAATAGATTATAGATAGTCTAATGGAAAGGACATATAATAAAGCTGTAGAATTTTTGTATGTTCACGATTCACGCGAAAACTGTTTTTTACCTCAACATTTAACCTCTCGTCTGTTGCCATTACCAAACACAATAGATTACAATCAATTTTTCGCACAGATCTATGTACGTATGACACCATCCTAATAACAAGTACTTTTATTTTTCAGATTACCGAAGATGACTACATCTGTGAAGCATACAGAGATCTAGCAATGTTATGTGTAAATCATGGTTTACAAGAAATATCTGGCATTGATGACCAACAACCTGGACCAAGTCACCAAGGCCACGCTAGTATATGCCTTTTATGTGGGTGTTCCATTTTGCGAAGGCAAAGTGACAGAATATTGAGAGTTTACCCCACGGACTTGCATCAGTTGATGTTTACCATTATTGAAAACAGGGTTGCTCCAAGATAGGTATGCTAATTATGCTGTAATGTATTATAATTATAAAAATGCTGTAATTTTTTTGATGACTGTCTTAGTCTAGTGGTCTGCGCAGACTACAAAACCGTCAGTTGTGGATTCAAGTCCAAGTGTCAAATGTTTGTGTGATGAGCATGAACATTTGTACCTCAGTGATGGATGTTTACAATCATATATAAGTACTATCTGTTATCCTAGTTGCCATAGCATATACTCAGGCTTAGTTTCAAACTAGCTAATTGGTTTTGATTGTTGGAACCATTTTGTTCTAATCTTTAAGCAAATTGGTATTTTTGGTTTCTATGTGTTCTATGTGTACTATACTAACACACATATATCATTGATTTGATTTCCAAATGTTATGATTATAATGTGCTTATATCCGAACTCCCCTCATATTTTCAAGGACCTCCCAGGAGAGGATCAACAAGACCCTCATCTATTCGAGCACCCTGAAAATCCTAATTTGTTGACTGTGCTAGGCATTCAATATTAGCCTGTACAGGATACTTTCACGTATCGAGTCGAACTCAATCCCCCTCCTAAATCATAGACCAAGCGCTCCGTGCTGTCGACTGTAGCCCGCACCTTCGATCCTATTGAATGGATCACTCCGGTCATTTTTTGGCTAAGTGCTTTCTTCAAAAGCTCTGGATATCCGGCTTGGGTTGGGACGACCCTATAAGCGGTGGTCTCTTGTGAGAGTTACTCTCTATTGTGTCCTCCCTTCCGAATATCAACCGGGTCTCCATGCCAAGGTGCTTTCTCCCTCCAGGGAAATGCAAGGCTACCCTGCATGGATTTTGCGGCGCCTCTGAGAAAGGCTATGCTGCTGTCGTATATTTGCGGACTGTGAGCGCTTCTGGCCATACTTCCGTCCATCTCGTACTTGCTAAAAGCAAGGTTGCTCCCATTAGGTCCCGCTTAACTATCCCTAAATCGTCCGCAGCAGCTCTTATCACGCGACTCCTCAACCACGTTCACTCTTCTTTGAAGTCTGTAATCGACTTTACGGCCGTCTACGCTTGGTCAGACAGTGAGATAGTACTTTGTTGGTTCCAAGCTGCACCTCACAATCTTGAGGTATTTGTGGCGAACCGCGTGTATCAAATCCAGAATTCTGGCACGTCTCTAACCTGGAGACATGTCCCAGGGGAGTTGAATCCCGCAGACTGCGCTTCTCGCGGCTGTGAAGCCTCCTCTTTGGTTGATCACCCGCTGTGGTGGGGTCCCAGTTGGTTGACTGAGTCTCAGTCATTCTTTGCCCAGAATAAATACTCTGAACCGACTGAATTGCATGGCCTACGAGCCTGAGTAGGAGTGGGCAAGGATAAGCCCACTCGGGATTTCTCCCTGCTAGAACGGTACAGTTCTCTCGATAAGCTCTTAGGAGTGACTGCTTGGTTGCGTCGATTTGTCCGCAATTCGAGAGACCCGTCCAACCGAATCTCTGATTCCGTTTCGTCCCCTAGCGAGCGTCGCGGAGCCTTGATGCATTGGACCCGTATAGTCCAAACGGAGCATTTTGATCCCGTGATTGACACCTTGAAGCGGGGTTCCGTTGTCAAGGGCGCTCTGGCCCGCCTGAACCTCTTCTTGGACGACGCTGGGATGCTGCACGTTGGCGGACGTTTGAAAAATTCCCAACTGCCGTACTGGGCTCGACACCCGTTACTGCTCCCTAAGGACGGCGCCTTTGTTCGGTTGCTGGTAACTCACCACCATGTTCAGAATGCTCACGATGGGTGTAACGCTCTTTCGGCTATTTTGCAGCGGGAGTTTTGGGTTTTGGCTGGCCGACGCAACATTCGGAGCGTCATTTTTAAGTGCATGCCTTGTTATAAATTGAAGGCCACCATATTGCAGCCGATGATGGGTACCATTCGCTGGTGTCGGAACCGACTTTGCTGGCCCCTTCCTCGTCAAGTCCTCCAACCTTCGTAACGCGCGTTCACATAAGGTTATCTGTACGTTTTCAGGTGCCTCGCCACTAAGGCCGTTCACTTAGAATTTGTAAGTGCCCTCAGCGCTGAACCCTTTGTGGCCACGCTGGGCCGCTTCGTATCGCGTCGCGGTTTGCCGGACCTGATCCGGTCGGAATGCGGAACGAATTATAAGGGCACGGATAGATATTTGAAAGAGGTCATCGAATTTCTGTCCAGCAACAGGACTTATTTAGGTACTGCGATGACCAATGTAACGATCTCCCCCCTCTCTCATATAATAAATATATTAGATATAATTAATTTACCCCTTTTCGATAAAAATTATATATATGTGACCAGGAATAATAAATTATGTTTTGATCTTTCTAAATGATCTTTCTAAAGGTTTAATAATAGGCCGTTTGTAATAATTTGGCGTGATCGTCTTAGTTAGGACCCTTATTTACGTTGTGTTTGTTTAGTAACTTAGTTCTTTTAGGTGTCTTTTGGAAGAATGAATATTCACTAGAGCAATTGAAAGCTGTTGGTAGTGCCTTATAAGCTAAGTGAACCCCGTTCACGAAGACAGGGCTCGAGAAAGGTTAAGAACGTAAAACGTCTTTATTCCACTTGTATCAGGTTGACATTATTAATTTATTATTATTTATCCCTTCCCGCTTGGAAAAGGCTCACAATATATTTATACAAAAATACCCGATACAAGGGCTTCGCTCTCCTACATTTATTTTAAAAAAATGTAGGGGGAGGTACACGGCCCCACACACGCCGTGCACGGTGAGTGCCAACCATTTTGATGCACTCCCCCCGAAGGGAAAGCTAATTCGGGAACTGGACCGTAGTCCACAGCAAAATAACTGGCGAACCAGTAAAAGAGGCTTGGCCCCTTGCTAGTGCGTAAGCACAACCATCGACCGAAGTCGCGCATGTCAATGCGTGTAAACGCCAAACAGAATACGAACGAATCCAGCCACAGTGAATGTACGTCACACGGTTTAGGCAAATAGGCACACTGGCCGTAAACCCTCCGTGAGCGCCACCACCTGCCAGACCGCCGCTCCTGCAGACGTGATGTAAGTGTATGGCATCACCACCAATTGCATGATCAGCACGGCTACTAGCCGCAGAGCGTGTCATGAGTCTACCGCTCACCTCAAGGGAATGGGGTCCCACGTTGTGCGGCTTTCGGCCGCAGCCTTGAGAGTCTCCTCAGATCCTCCCGCCAGCTACCACCCGCATGAGGTCGACACATATGCTCCACCAACCAATACAACGGCAGATATAGCCAAAAGGCAGTTATAAGATAAGAGTAATAATTCGCCATCAGAAAGGGTTTGTGTCACTGACGTTGAGTAAATGCATTTTCGATCATGTTTGTCTCACCCACCAACAAGTTGCCTTCAATCATTCAAAGTTGGGAAAGTTACAGAGACATAATATTATGTTGTTATATAAAACATCGTGGAGGGCAGACAGTCTGCAGCCCCGCAATGAAGGGACCCGACTTGGGCAAAGCTACTTAGGTGTGAGTCAAACCAAGACGCAGAGAGCGCCATTGAGAATAGCGTCCCACCAAACAACCATCGCAGAGACGCAATGCTGCAGAACGCAACAAGCATCAATACGACTATCGTCGGGCTTACCCCATCCCAAGGTCCCCCATACATCCCAGCAGACATCACCACCCGCATACCTCCATCGCCCAGAACCACAAGAGAGCGTCGAATCAGGCGCAGCACACCCGCAGATCCATCACAAGACGCAATACCGCAAGTAG